ACTAGGATTAATAATACCTTGTTCAGCCTTTGGTAGAAAATTAAATAAGTGGTGATAAATCTCTCAGTAAACAGGGCTACACATGTTTATCCCTTTAAGTGGGATGCTTTCTATTAATAGTTGAGCAGCAGCAGAACTCTGGAGCCATGCCTGTGGGGTCTTTCTCCCCACAGAGGTCTCGTTCATGTTCCTTACATCGTATAACATTCGAGAGTGATGGCCTACTTGTCCTTGTGGTTAGGCAACACAGCATGGCCGTTTAAGTGTTGAAAAGCAACTGTCATTAATAGCTTGTTTAGCCCATCAGTGGTTTGCAGAATATAGGTGCTGATTGCCAGAAATATAGGCGGGCCCACTGCTCTTACATACTCATCAGTAACACTACAGGTTCTAATAAAAGCCCTTTCCTTTCTTTTTTAAGCTATTCTGCATAGAACTTGCAAATAAAACTGCTATGTTTCAGTTCACAGGCTAATTTATTTAGCCCAAGTATAAACACAGTTCATGTGTCATTGTCATACTTTTGAGGATTCAGGTAACATACAACATGAACTAGGAAATGCCCCCCACCGAGGGCAAACCCGTAAGTGAGGCTACTCGTACTTTAGCAGATATGGGGGAGGTTGAAACAGTAAGGGCCCCGAGGGAAGTACGGGCCACGACTGAGAGGAGAGGTGCAAGAGGCCCCGTGAAGGTCTCGAGGACCCACATGTGAATTGATCTGATAAAGGCTGGGGTAGCAGAAGAAAAACTCGATGGGCAGCCCAAAAGAATCTTGTTAGAATGGTGGCAGTATTACAAGAGTTTCGGGGTCTTTGGGCTACTGGAGAACACTGCACTGGCACAAAATTCTGAAGCCCTTATACTGGTTGGCACAAAAGGGCATCAGGCGGGACTGGGATGAGACGTGCAGCTGCTTTTACTGCTGCCAAGAGGACAGTTAACTCCGTACAGGCCTTGAGTGTAACGGACTCACCAAGGCCCTGTGACCTAGATGTTCATGTAACCGAAGATGGTTAAGGATGGGGTCTTTGGCAGCCGCTTGAACGGACATGCCAACCTATTGGATTCTGGTCACAACTATGGAAAGGAGCAGAGGTCCGGGTCACCTTGACAGAGAAGCAACTGGCTGCTGTGCACCACGCCTTGCTGGCTATGGAGCCCATTGCTGGAACAGCTCTGACCAAGGTAATAACCACCTATCCCATCGTGGGGTGGGTGCAAGACTGGATCCAAAGGCCATGGAGTGGCATGGCACAGATGCCTACACTGGCCAAATGGGGCACATATTTACAGCAGTGCAGCGCCCTCTCTACTAGCTCCCTGAATGGAGAACTCCAACGCTTATTGGGGCCAGTGACCTAAACCAGTGGGAAGTGGGAAGAACTTGCTTTTGAGCCACTGGTAGCTGAGACTCCTTATCAGGAGGGTAAAGCCCCTATACCTGAAGATGCTTCGTACACAAACTGATCCAGTCGTGGGCAGCCCCTGAAGTGGAGGGCTGTGGCTTTCCATCCTAAGACTGAGGCAATATGGATGGAGGATGGAGAGGGGAAGAGCAGCCAGTGCGTCGAGTTGCAGGCACTATGGCGCCTGAGCACCCAGGCGCCCTCCCCCGTAGTTGTCTGCACTGACAGCTGGGCCATCTATTGGGGCTTGACCCTGTGGCTACCAACATGGTACCATGCCAACTGGATGGTTGGTCACCGGTCCCCTTTGGGGGCAAGATTTGTGGCAAGACCTATGGGCCTTTGACAGACTAAGACAGTTACCGTGTATCATGGGACTGGCCATTTGCCTTTGGCATCCCCTGGGAATAATGAAGCAGACACATTGGCCCAGGTACGCTGGCTACAAGGAAAGCCTGCCTCTGCTGTAGCCCAATGGTTACATCAGCATTTGTTGTATGCAGAGCAAAAGACGTGGGCTGTAGCCTGATGGTGGGGCTTGCTGTTGACCTTTGAAGAAGTCAGCAGAGCCCAGGAGTGCCTTGTGTGCTCAAGGGGAGTTGCACCTAGTCCTTCAGCAATACGGGACAATAATAAAAGGAGCTGATACCCCTTGTCAGGTGGCAGATATACTGCACTGGGCCTCTGCCCCCATCAGAAGGATATCGGTATGCCGTGACTTATGTGGACACAGCTACTGGCCTGTTTGCTGCTTGTCCTGCACATATTGCAGATCAGCAAGCCACCCAGAGGGGCCTGGAGTGTCTCTGTGCAGCCTATGGCCGGCCGCAGGTGATGGAGATCGGTCAAGGCTCCCACTTTACTGGACATGTGTTACAAGGATGGGCGCAATTAGGAATAAAGTGGAACTTCATGTGCCATATAATCCTACCGGGGCAGGCATGATCGAGAGGTACAACGGTTTGTTGAAATCTGGCCTGAAGTGAGACAACAGTGTGGCCTTGGGTCCTGCTGGATCGGGGCTTTGCTACTTTATCCTTCTCTGTGAGGTCTTCTCTTTTCCCCAGATGTAGGCAGTCTGTTGCAGTCTTCTTTCGGGTTGCTCTTTCACCAGCCATCTTTTTCCCCTCCTTCAGATGAGTACATTTTTACATTTCTTTCAGATCTTACCATTTTTCCTCAATATCTGTGACGCCTATCCTAATTCTATAGAGTCGGCCAAAATTATGATTCCCAATGAGCAGTTGGAAACCCTCCATGATGCACTGAAGCTACTGCCGCCTACTCACTGCGAAACCCTCCAGTACCTCCTGGCACATCTGGCTGGAGAGAGCGACCCTCCACGAGAAGGAGAACCTTATGAACGCAGAGAACCTTGGAACTGTTTTTAGCCCAACCCTTATGAGCTCTCCAGAATTAGACGCAGTGGCTGCACTAAATGATTTACGGTATCAGAGACTGGTGGTAGAGCTGCTTATCAAAAATGAAAACATTATTTAAAATTTTTAGTTCAAAGGAAAAAAATGTCCTACAGATGAAGGAATGTTTTATAGTAATTTAATTGGCTCTTAGTGGGATTATTTCACAGAGTGAATCTGTCATGACTTCACTTTTGGGTTCCATGCCATTGGTTTCTGCTGCTCATATAAACACGTACTCAACTGGATAAAACAGCATCTCTGGCTGCTGCATAGCCGTAGACTGTAACATATGTCTACTTTCTCAAATGCTTTATTTCTGGTTTCTCTTAGTTCTCTAACACAGTACTTCCTTTCCAGCAAAAAAGCAAAGTATGTTTTCAGATTTGTTACTTCAGAAAATTATCCATGCCAATAAAAAAAGTACAGTGCAGGAAATAAACATAATAAATGAATAAATAAAGAATTCATATAATCTGACAGTTCAAATAATAATCTATAGTTAAAATATTTAAACTATAATCCAAGAGTATGGTATAATTTTTCAATCACAATTTCCTTTTCCTCTTGTCTTATATCCAACCAGTCTTAAAAATTTTTAATGACTGTCTAGTTAGAATCATTTGATCGATTTTGTGATAATGATGGAAACTGAAACATTTAAAGGGAGAAAGACATGCTACCATCCTTCCAGAAATCTATAAAACCAACTGCTGTAAGTAGAGGAAACAGAGATAATGTATACATCCAAAATGTAACCTACAGGGAGATGAATTAGGGCACATTACCGATTAATGAATTAACCTGTAAAAACCAATTGACTTCTTTTAATTTTTCCACCGTTTCCTGTCTTGCTCTTTCTTCAGTGTCCCGTCTGTACTGTTCCATACTGTTGTGTTCCAGAGAAATCACTGCCATGTGGGTTTTAAGGTTTCTGATTTCCTGTCTCAACGTTTTTTTTTTTTTTT